GGCTCCTTTTGTCTGTTTTCCTTGCCTTTACATCTTTGCCCCACAAATGTGAGTGACAGGACTGAAAGCCTGTGCTATAGATAGAAACACCTATCATTGTTTGCTTTTTTCCTTACATTAACACTTTGTGCTGTCCTTTGACATACTCAGGTTTGATAGCATCCCTAAATGCATTCTGTGACATCCTATGTAAGATTCTCTCTGATACTCCCAATTAAGTTGCCACAACTGCAATGGTAGGAGCAGCAGTGAATCTACATTCAGCTTTGTGTAGGTGACTATGTAGTCTGTAGTATGTTATTTCTTCTTTCTTTCTTAGTAATTTCTTTGAGGTATTCAGTGAAGGAGAGGACTGGAACATCTTTTAAACAGATGCTTAAGTTAGTCTCTGAATTGGTGGCAGGAAGAGGTCAGAGCCCCATAGAATCCAATCACATAGTATAGGATGCACAACTTGGTGTCACAGATAAGGTTGCACAGACTGAACAAAACATTAACTGCTGCAGAAAATGTGCTTCAGACTGTACAACTGTAATCATTTAAAGAACATAGACTACTTCTATCACTCAAAACACTTTTGAAAAGAGCTCCTCTATAAATTACTACAAGAAAGTGCTGGGTTTTTAAAAAATTTTGGTTCACTGGTGAAATAATTTGACTTGTTATTCATATAATGATCTGACTTTATCCTTTGGCCTAGATTTTTAGATGAAAAATCTAGTGCCATCTACCATATCTAAATATTTGAAATAAATGTAGGTGATTATTATAAAAATCACAAAACTGAAAAACATGCAGTAAACCTGTGGCTTTGGTAATGCATTTACATATGTAGATGTTAATGTGAGGATTTTGAATAAGTCATTAATAACTAATACTCAGTTTCCTTATTTTATAACCTGGCAATATGCTATTGTTTCGTTATGGTTCTTTGATAAAGGAGCTGCAGGCATCTTGCAAGGATGTGGAAACATCCAGTAGTATAAATGAGCAATGATTTTTTGGTTCAAAGCTCCTTTACAGAAGGCAGAATCTAATCTTACGTAAAAATCATATGCCAAAACATTTAGTATTATCCAGCCAACTGACTGTGTAATGTAAAATCATCTTTGGTCTTTTCAGTTTAGTTTAAAGTGATATGCTTACACAAAAAGACCTAAATTGATATGAAAGCTTAGTAATGGCAAATTAAACACATTCTAAGCATTCTGACTTTTTGAAGACCAAAGGCTCTTTTTCTTTAAGTAGTTTAATAACCTTGTTTAGTTATGTGGCATCATAAGTTTATACATGTTCATGCATTTAACTTCAGATTGAACTGTGATGCTAAGTCAAAAGTTTCTTGTGTATCTGTACATTTCAAATCTTCCTCAGATTATACCTATTATAGAAGAGTCATTTCATTTGATTTATCTACAAGTCCCGAAAACTGTGCTTTGCGTACAAATACTGTAAAGAATCTGCTTCTAGCTTTACTTTCCCAAGTAGAAATAAGGTGCAGCTACATGAAAGTCTGTAGAATTACAATGGTAAGTAACTGGTACTAGGACGACTAGAAGCCAGCTATGGCTATTTCACAGGAAAGCTCTCTATGGTCAGCCAGGGTTTGCTCCCAGGTACACTGAAGAAATCGAGAGAATTTGGAATACTGTAAGCATTTTTTCCATGGTAAACAGCGCCTTTCCTGGACTCAGACATGCGTCTACTACATCTGTAAGCTAAGTCTTTGCTTCAGCAGTTGAGATTGCCGAGTAAATGGGTCTCACAGCTTTTGCAGTTAATTAACAATTTTCATATGTAAGCCTTAAGAATGTGATAGCTTGAGTCACTCACCAGCCCCGTACAGCAGTAAAATGCAGTGCCTGCAAGTTAAGACTACTTTTATTGTGTACATCTTTCCTTGGGATACTGAACATTGAACAGTTACCTTTTTTGTATTGCTTAGCAGACATGTACCAATAATCTGAGTCACCTGTTTTGAAAAGAATACTTTGGGATGGAAGGTACTGTTACTGAACAGGGAACAAGAAAATCTGTTATCTTATAGACTATTCCTAATTTATTTTGGGATATATGTCACTTTATCCTCTGGTATTTATGCTTAAAGGTTTGAGATACCTTTAATATAACTTACTTGGTGAATTTAGATTATCCAGTGCCAAACTGATAGACCTTACCAAGAAGAAATTACGATACTGTTTGTTGTTAATTCTGCACTAGTGTTTATTCTTACATCTGGTGATAAAAACATATTGATTAAAATAATAGTAAAGGTACCAGAGTCACATGGTTTCTGTTTTACATGACACTTTCGTTTTCCAAATTTCTGATGCAGCACCACTTGAATTCTAGCTGTCAGATCAGGGGAAGAATGAGTCTTCTTTAAATATGCCAAAGAATTAAGTGTTTAATGTTTGCAACTCTTCAGAAATCTAGCTTGAAACATCAAGTAATCACCTATTGATCTGTCTATAGAGCAGACAGGCACAGTAATTTCTTGGGGGATTTGTCTTTCGTGGCCAACTGATTCTAATTTCTGTTTTATTTTGGAAATGAATGTTTAAATAGATGTTCACTTGAGGAATACCCCCTGCATCGATTTTTAAATGAATAGATGGCATCATCTCACCTAACTTCAGCCACCTAAAAGACAGGCAGCTACTGTCAGTAATTTTCTAACCCAGAGAGAACAGCAAGTACTTGCAGCATCTTTCCTCCATCCTAAAAGAAGCATCTAAAGAGACTGGATGAGTTGTTCCAATCTAGATGTCAAGTTCCCTTGTGTAGTCAATGAAGAGAGACAAACACCGTGAACTGTGCAAGAAATGAAGGCAGCTAGCTGATGCCACATACCTCAGTTTGGACTATAAGGATAGAAGAAATTCATCCTAGCTTGTGGGAAGAAAAGATGCTTTTCAGTTCTGTAAGATGTTTTACCTGAACAGATTGCTACAGGAAAATTTAAATCTAATGACAATCTGACATTATAATTTTAAAATGTAATGGAGAACATATTTTTGCTTCTGTCTTTTGTTTTCTGTTTTTTGAGGACACCACTGGAAAAGTTATAAATTTGGAACAGTGCTGCTGTTGTATTATGACCAGCTGTAAGGGTTAATTAATTCTGTCTTCAAGATCTAAATAGAAATTACATATTGTAAAGGCTTTAATCTTGTAAGAAAAAATACAGTTCTTCTTTTCTGAATTTTATACAACTTAGAAAAATACCTTTGTAACAAATATGTTATATTTGTCCCTTTCTCATTGTCTGTAACTATACCACCGTATATGGTCACTATGATAAATATAGATACTAAAATGGAAGGATAAACTGAAAAATCA